GAGGTGTGTTCACTGTGGCATTCTCTGTAAGTAACAGGAAAATTAGGAGCATCAGAAGTGGTAAAATATAATTGTCTGATTCTAAAACCCTTGTATTTCATTGTGCCATCATGTTCTTAGTGACATAAAAGCAATGTTACTTTAGATTATCAAATGGAAATCATTATAATCTCCTTTTGGTTAAAAACATTATAATCTCCTTCTTGTATTTTGTTTTAAAAATGTGTGTAGCAATACCAAAACTACTGAACAAATTTTTCTTTCAGAGGCTACATTAATTATTTATTGTTGTGCAATAAATTACCTCCAAATTTAGCATCTGAAAAAGTAACTTTTATTCTCTAACACGGTTGCAAAGGGTTAGGAATCTGGGCGAGTCTTGACTGGGTGCTCTGGCTCAGGTGGTCTCGTGAGGCTGCAGTCTAGTTGCCGATGGCTCCAGTCCTTGCCGCCTCCGAAGATGTGAATAAGGCTGGAGGGGACACTTCCATGCTCATTCACACAGGTTTTGGCAAGAAGGTTCAGTTGCTTGCCACATGGGCTCATGGGCTGCCTGATGTTCTTGAAACTTCGCCCAAATGGAGTGAGGGAGGGTGGGTAGAAGGAAGGGAAAATAAGACAGAAACCGGAGTGTCTTTATAACAGTCTCAGAAAAGACATAGCATCACTTCTTCTGTATCTTATTGGTTACACAGACCAGCCCTGGTACAGTGTGGGGACTATATAACGGTGTGTACACCAGGAGGCAGGGTCATCGAAGGCCGTCATGCACCGTGCCCATCACAGCCCGTCCTCACTCTTCCCAAAGGCCCACAAAAGTCTCATCCCATTGCAGCACTAGTTAAAATTCCAGAAATCTCATCATCTAAATCCAATCTAGGTGCAGCTAAGGGTTCCTCCAATGTCATTCCTAAGTACCGTTCCTTTTGATTTGAAGGCTGTTAGCTAAAGAGACAAGTCATCTGTTCCCTATCTGGCCAAGATAACCACTATATATACTCTTGCACAGAAAGGAAGAATATGGGAGGAATGGAGGGGCCAGTGATCCATAGAAATTCTGAAATCCAGCTGAGCAAATGTCAGAAGTTCCTTCATCTGGGTGCATCCTCCTGTGCCCAGTTTTTATTGTCCATGCCTCTTGGACCGACCCTCTAGGCTCTTAGTTCTTCCCTCCTGGACTTCTAGCCTCCAGAGCTGTAAGACTGTAAATTCCGGTTGCTTAAGCCTCCAATCCCTGGTACTGTGTCAAGGCAGCCCATGAAAACTAAAACCTCAGTCTTCTGAAAGCTATCTAAAAATCTCTTGCTATTGTCCAATCCAAATTTACTCTTCTTTTTAAAAATATTTCTTGATGCATATAAATACATATATATAATTTTATATATATATAATTAGGTTTGTTTCTATACAAAATGTATATGATTAGAGTTTATTCTAATCTATTCTGAGAGTCAATGCTTTCATTAAGAGAATTGAAGCATTTCATTTCATGTTAGAACCTGGAGAGATTTATGACGGTAGGATGGAAATGTGGCAGAAGATACTTCTCATTGCTTACTGTGGATTGAATTCAGGGACCATATTGTAATGGAAAAATTGTTTCCAAGAAATCAGCAGATCAGCGCATTTCAAGGTCAAATCATTACCCTTCTAGGCTAAGGTAGCAGAGACTTGCACTTAGCCAAGTTACGTAACAGAGAAAGGGAGTATCACAGTGACCAGGACCCAAATTTCAGAAAGCAATACCTGGAGAAATTCTCAAACCAAGGAGCAACTGGCAGTGGGAACTCTACAACTGCCCTCCCAGCCTCTGCACTGGTCACCAGGAGCAGGACTGGAGGGTCTCCGAGGCCTCCAAGGACGTGCTCTGTCTCCGATTATACAAACTTCTGGTCACTTATTTATCTTTTATGTGTCTTCTGTAGTGATTTACATAATAAGCATCCCGTGTTTAGTGCCCATGTTAACTTTCAATTTAATGAAACATATTTTAACTTATGTTTCTCTAATGATCAAAGCCAGAGCAAAATAATGTCTGCTGCCTACCCTGCAATTGAAGTAAAAAACTGAGCATTTTTTTTTTACTTTACTTTAGCTTTTATCTTACCTTAAAACATATTATAAACCCAATCTATTTTATAACCAATTAGTCAAGGGTTTTTTTAAAATTCACATTTTTACCAAAGAACATTTTTAGCCTCTGAACTTAGTAACTATATTTTAAAAACACATATGTACTGATTGGCTTCACAGGGATTGCCAATCCTTTTAGAGCTCCACTCCCTTATTTTTGAGGTATTAATTTTGATTTTTAAGTGTCCTATAGAGTAGGTCTTTGAATAGTTTTTTTTATAAGCTCACACACTGGTAGTTTATTTTAGAAGTGATCTCAGGAAAGGGACTAAAGAGTAAAACTGAGAAGGTGGGAAGGTCAATACAAGGACATATCCTCGAGTTGGACCCCACTGTGGAAACTGGGGCTCACTCTGTGTAGTACATGCCTTAGTGTTGTCTACCTGAGAGACAGAAAATGACAATACTTACCTGCCAGCTCCTGTCCCCCACTGGTAGAATAATTTTTAAAGAAGGCCAAATGGGTGAAATGGCTTCTGAATCTCGGCTATCTGTAAATACCTTCCCACTGCCTGTATTCATAGATTAAATTTGGCTTGGAATAGTATGCTTAGATCATGATGTTTCCTCTTTAGAGAAGGAGATATCTCTCCATTTAGAGCTGGTGAATAAAAACAGGAACTAGCCTTAATTTTTTCCCTTTGTGGATAAGCTATTACTTTTTGTCTGGTTGCTTATATGATTATTTCTTTTCTCTAGATTTGCAGGCTATATCCAGATATGGGCATTTTTTCCCCATCAAAATCTTTTTTTAAGGAATTTTTATTTTTTTATTTTTTAAAAAAGATTTTTATTTATTTTTAGACAGAGGGGAAGGGAGGGAGAGAGGGAGGGGAGAGAAACATCAATGTGTGGTTGCCTCTCACACGCCCCCTACTGGGGACCTTGCCTGCAACCCAGGCATGTGCCCTGGTTGGGAATCGAACTGGAAACCCTTTGCTTCATAGGCTGACGCTCAATCCACTGAGCAACACCAGCCAGGGCTCCCCATCAACATCTTGATTTTTTTTTTTTACACTCAGGAAAATATTTTTTTACCATGTCTGTGATTATTATTTCTGCTCCTTTTGTTCCAGCACTTCCAAGAGTATTTGTTAGCCACAGGTTTATTTTTACTACTTTTGCTCAGTGTCTATTATGACCTCTTGCCATTCCCTCTTTATACTTTACAGCCTTGGAAAGTGAGTTCATAGATTACATTTTATCCATTGTTAATTTTGCTCACAGGTGTAGCTAAAACATCTTTTGCCTTTAATTGCATCTCATTTTGGCTGTCTTCATGTTTGATAAGGGCAGGCTATGCAGAGTGACTTAAACTCACCTGGCCCTGCGAGAGGCCACCACATCTGGCAGGGCCTCATGTCAGATATGCATTGGGTTGGCCAAAAAGTTTGTTCTGTTTTTTCATAAGATAGCCTTAGTATCACTTAGTTGTCTTTAATTTCATTCAAAACAATTTTGTTAGATTGTGACAGCAGTCATTTCAGTGTGCAGTTAAAAAAAAATCAAAATTGGTAAATTCTCATGTAATCATTTTAATATTGAAGATGGAAGAAAACAAGTGGCATTTCAGCATATTGTGCTTTGTTATTTCAAGAGAGGTAAAAATGCAACTGAAACTCCAACAACAACAAAAAGATTTATTCAGTGTATGGAGAAGATGCTGTGACTGACTGAACATGTCAAAAGTGGTTTGCAAAGTTTGTGCTGGAGATTTCTTCCTGGATGATGCTCCATGGTTGGGTAGACCAGTTAAAGTTGATAGCAAATAAAAATGGACATTAACTGAGAACAATCACTGTTATACCATTCAAGAGATAGCCAACATACTCAAAATATCCAAATCAATGAAATTATTGGTGAAAATAAACAATGTGTCTTTTATTTTATGGAAAAATAAATACAGACTTTTTGGCCAACCCAATAAGTGGAGGATGGTCTGATTTGCACCAGATGGCCCAGTTCCCAACAGGCACTCATCAGTCTGGCTCCATTCCACCAGGTTGAATCCTGACTGCTACGTGCTCCCAGGGAGGCTCTGCTTCCAGAGCATTCCCTAAGGGAATATCTATCCCTTTGTGCCGCTCATCCTTCTTCCTCTATTCACTCTGAGTTGTACAGGAAGATTTGATCTTGCAATTGGTATGAAAACTGAAGGAGAGTTCCATGGGGCCCAGACTTTGGCCCTCTTGGAACCTAATTCTCACGCAGTAGCTAACAGTGGTCTGATTTCAGGTCACAAGAGCCCTGACCCCCTCAGCCTGGCAGATGTTGGGATAAGCAAATCCTTCTCTTGAATCTTGCTGTCTATTCAGTGTTGTGATTAGAAGATAAAACAGATGTAAGCTGGGGTAGGAGGTGTTTTCTCAAACCAGCCCCACTGGCACTGTACCTGGTGAACAGTCTCAATAGATTTCTACCAATGCTGATCCAAGGTTTTGTGTCTTTGCAGAGTGTCATGGATGTTTTAATAGGAAAGAGAGTGTATCTCAGGCTAATCGAATGGTTAATTTTTTACACATGCTTGGCACACTTTCCCCCCAGAAAACAATGCATTCATTATACATAGAGACAATGGCTTCACAATTCCATTAAGGGCTAAAAATTACTCCATTCACCTCTCACAGCAGCCAAATGATGCTGGCAGGTGGAATTCTAAAAGATGAGTGCAAAAGGGTTACACAGTAGCACCAGCACCTCTGGGGCAGGAAGGCGGTCATGCAAAGTGGACTATAGGAAGTCCAGCTGTTTCCAGAAGCTTGTAATTACACTGACTCCGCACCTACTACCCTCAACAGACAGTTCACCGGTAAGAATATGTCTTAAACACATGTCAAGAGGAAAACTATAACACAATGTATCCTCACCTGATAATGTATTCTGGCTAACAAACCATGCAGAAGATCAGTTTCACGAAAATTCACTGCTTTCAATAGGAAGGTGAGATTACCAACTGCGTCCATGTTAAATGCCAGGAAACTGAAGGAAAAACACAGTGGCCATCATTATTATTTTGTCTTCACCAGGAAATACATTTGAAAAAAATATACAGGGCTTATTTTTCAAAAGGAATTTTCATCCAATAGAAAAGTAGTGTCAGTACATATAACCGCCCCCTCGATGTGTGCTTCTGTCAGTATTTTTCTGATGAATGATTGGCTCTGGTTTATCCTATATGGTGCTCTTCGTGGTATAAAGATAATTTGATTTCCTGCTTTTCCCACTATAGTTGTATTATAAGTAGCATTCAGTATTTTATGTAGTTTTTCTTAACAACTATGTAACTTCCATTAAGGGGGTTTATCATAATTTACTCAACCATTGTTGGGCTTGTGTTACAATAATGATGAAAAGTGACTAGTATGAATAAAATGTATGTGTCACAAAGTATTTGTCAACAAACACTATTCTGTAAATACATTATGTATCAGGCACTTTGCTAATTATTGCTGTGAACTATTCAATGATCTCAAAAATTTTATGATATGGATACTATACTTATCCAATGTAGAGTTTGAGAACTGAGGCACAACAAGCTGTGGTAACCTGCTCATGGTCACATGGGCAGAACACACTCAGGCTTGGATTTTGTCTCAGGGGACACTTGGACTTAAGGGAAGAGGAGCAGGAGGGGCAGTGAGAGGGATGTGGGTAAGCACAAGGTAGAGTATGCCATAAAGAGGGTGACCTTCTTCAGCAGATAGGAATTTCTGTCTTCCCCAACTGGCAAATGAGGAAACTGAGGCACTGAGGAGTTAAGAGGCTTAGGCACAAGCAGACTCAAAACACCCAGTGTCAGAGCCACACCCTGCCCTCCTCACCTAGCCTCACAGAGCCTGTTCAGTACAATGACAGACTCTCCTGGAGTCCAGATGAGGGGACTCAATTGGTATCCATATAATGGCTGTTAATTGAAGGGATTTGAGGGCACCAGGAAGTTCCCAAGCCCATCTTTCCTCACATCCCGATCTTCTCATGTGAGTTGTCCAGCTGTTACCACGAAACAATCAGATGGAGCACCAAGGAGTCTTCCCCCATTGGCCAAGATGGCAGCAAGGGAAGGTTCTTACACTGAGCACAGGAAAAACTAGCAAGATAATTGGACGGAAAATAAAAGCCCTTCCCCTCCTCCTCTGGTACCAGATTGGGGGTAGGACCAGGAAAGGTGGGCAAATGCACCACAGAAGTCAAATTGGCCCAGGGGAAGGTGCTGGACCAAAGGGGCCTGCCGGTCTAGCCTGGGGAAGGAAGGATTGGTTGGGAGGTGGACCGACCTGCCGTGCACAAAAGTTTGGGTAATTGATTGGTATTTTGAGAAAGCACCTGGTCTGTCCCACATCCAAGCTAATATAATTCCAGAAGAACAAATAAGCTCTCTCTCTCTCTCTCTCTCTCTCTTGCTTGTGACCTGAACTCACTTGGGGTGCTTGCCTATTCTCTCCCTAGGCCACATGGCCTTAGCAACCATGTGGCCACGGCCTTAGCAGCCATGTGGCCCATGGCCTCGAAGAGGGGGCTACTCTAGCCCTCTCTTGCCCATCTGGTGATGCCACTAGCCCATGGGTTTGTGCACGCTCTCGCCCAAGAGCACACGACCATGTGGTTTTGGCAGCCACATGGCCCGTGGTCCTGAGGGCCCGCACGCAGGCTCCAGGAGGGATCCTGAAATGGACTGCAGCTGGGAACAAGCTAAGCTACCTGGATGGGGGTTAAGACTGCTCAGCAGCTGCCTGAGGGCTCCAAAAGACTGTACTTTAAAAGAGAGCAAGAACTCTGGACACTGGTTTTTGTCTTGGCCTTGCTAAGGACACAGTTGGAAATTTTTTTCCCATGGCAAGAAGAGGAAATGGTTTTTGAGATGGGAGTCGGCCAGTCTCCCAGGTTGCACAGCACCTGAATAAAACCTCTTTCCTTTTGCACCAGCATTTGCCTCACAAGTTTTCCTTTTACGGCAACAGGCAGCCAAACCCCTGTTTTTATTCAGTTACACTATGACTGCCATCCTACTGCTCTATTAGCGTGTAAGCCCCACACGGCTGAGAACTCGTCATTGCTGCATCACCAATGCCCGGAGAAGTGCCCACGTCACTGGGGATGACAAAGGCTTTTCTTAGTATACATAGAAATTAGAGCAAGTAAGGTTTGGGGACTTACATAGATAAACAAGACAGACTGAATCAGTAAGTCCAAATGTGTGGGAGAGAGATGTGTAGTGTTTTCGAGGTTAATAACCGAAACAAAAATAAATGAACTGGAACTTTCTAAATATTTACAATTGGAAAACTGCCTTACAATTGGAAAACTGCCTTTGGCGCATCTCAAGTCTGTCCTGGAAAATTTGCTGGGAGTAGAGGTTTGCATGTGGGTGAGAGTCTGTTATGCTTTCAGAGTGACGGGGACAAGCCCTGCTCTGCTCCCTGGAAAAGAAATGAGAGGGCAGATGTGCATGGCCAGTTTGGGAACAAGGTTGCTGAATGGATGGAACTGATTTTGATGGAAACTGTACTGCTCCTTCAACCCCTGATATGTTGGAAAACTTCAAACTAATGAAGGGAAGGCTACTGGAACTACAAACTGTCCACTCAGGACTAGAAATATTAAAAAGATGTGCTGACTTGGTGGAGTGTGCAGGACAAATTGAGACATTAAAACTAAGACACTTAAGGGAAGCAGTTCTAGGATACTGGAGCTGATAAGATAGGCTGCAGTCTGAATAAACAGGAATCTGAGCAGTAGTAAGAAATGGGAAAAAATGACAGAGTATAGATTTCTTACTTTCACTTCATGCCAACAGTTATGAAAAGGCCCATACTATCATTTATGTGTTTCCCATGTTTTTAATCAGGAATGTAATCAGGATTATATTTTCTAATGAACATTTCCCTTAGAAGGTAGTGCAATACGTTTGGGTTATGGAGACCAATAATCTGCCTCCAAATAAAAATAACAATTTTAAAAATACACGAAAGGAAAAATCATGTAAGCTCCTCAAAAGTAAAGTAAAAGAGACAACACGTTTATGAGCACTAACCAATGAAGCAGGAAACAGAAGTACAACAGAAAAGATTAATAAAAGAAAATGCTTGTTGTTTGAGAAAAAATGAATTAAACAACTGCTTGATGAGATTAAATTATATAATAATACAGAAGAGAGAAGGCATAGAAATAGTTTTAGGAACATCAAGTGAGATATAACCATGGATTAGTAGAAGCAAAAAATATAATTAGAGAATAGTATGAAGAATCTTATACCAGTAAATTCAAAACCAAATGGATAAATTTCTAGAAAACTACCATTTACTAAAACTGACACAAGAAAGGCTAAATGTTCTTAACACAATTACACAAATTGAATCAGTAGTTTAAATATTCTCCTAGGCCCAGATAGGTTTCAATTAACTATCAAATTCTTCCACAGAATAGTAACTTTATGAGACCAGAAAAACTTGATGTAAATCCAAATCAGAGAGATACAAGAAAAGAAAACAATATGCCAATCAATATACAAAAACCCTGAAAGAAAAAAAACAAGCCAGTCAACACCATGAAAATATAAAAATGGTAACACAGCGTAACAAAATTGAGTGTTTCTCAAGCATGCAAGGGTAATTAAAAATTAAAAGATTTACAAGGGTTACTTAGCAAATTAACAGACTAAAAAAGGTATAGCATAAAATCATTTCAATAGATGCAAACAATTATTTAAAGTAAAATCAGTATAAATTCATCATCTAGTAATGACAAAATATATTAAAAATAACAATAAATGAAGCTTCTTTAGGAATTAAAGTCTGTCTATAAAGAAGTTTAACAAATATTCTTCAAAGTGAAATGTTAAACTAATTCTTTTTAAAACGAGGAATAAAAAATAGAGCACCTTCTATACAAAAAAGAGCAAAAGGAATAACAACCAGAGAGGAAGAAGAAATCATTATTTGCAGATGGTATGACTGTCTGTGGAGGAAAAAACCCCAAAGAATCTATAGATACATTTAGGAAATACTTATTTATGCTCAGGTTTATATACAAAAGTCCAATGCATTTATAACAAACTGGCAACAACAAAAAAAACATGATTTAAACATATTCTTTTAAAGTACCTAGTAATAATTCTAAGAAAGGTTTTACTATATATGGAGAATATTACAAAACTTTGGAAGACATGAAATTAAAATCTTTGAGGAAGATCATTTTATAAATATGTCAATTTTATGCAAATTTATAAATTTAATACACTTTCCAGCAGATTCTTTTAAATTGTGGTAAAATATACCATTTTAACCATTTTTAAGTGTGCAAGAGAGTGGCATTAAGTGCATTCACACTGTTGTGGAACCATCACACCATCTCCTCCAGAACTCTTTCATCCTCTCAAACTGAAATTCTATCCCCATCAAGCACTAACTCCCCATTCCTTCCTTTCTCAGGCCCTGGTAACCACCATCTACTTTCTCTCTTTCTTTTTTAAGATTTTATTTATTTATTTTTAGAGAGAGGGGAAGGGAGAGAGGAAAGGAGGGAGAGAAATATCAACCCGTTTCCTCTTGCACACCCCCAACCGGCTGCAACCCAGGGTTGTGCCGTGACCGGGAATCAAACCAGCAACCATTTGGTTTGTGGGACCATGCCCCACCCACTGAGCCACACAGTCAGGGCCCCATCTACTGTCTGTCTCTATGAATTTGACTACTCTAGATATCTGATATAAGTGCAATCATACAATATTTGTCCTTTTGTGTCTAAAAAAAATCTGCAAGGATTTTTTTTTAAGGAAATTGTTTGTCAAACTGATTCCAAAACTTGTATGAAAGTGCAAAAGACCCAGAATAGCCAACATAATTCTGAATTATATTTCAGGTATAATAATATATCATGTATGTTATATAATAGTATACTATTATAAATCGAGTGTGATTGTAATAGTGTATTGTTGGACTAAGGATATACACACAGACTACGAACAAAATAGCCCCAAACAGACTCCCACATACAGAATTTAATAAAATCCAGAGAAGCCGGGCAGATCACTGGGGAAGGATAGTCAATTCAGGAAGTGGTGCTGGAACAATGGACAGTCCCTACGGGAGGAAAAAATGAAACAGATCCCTTCCTCACACTACAGACAACAATTCTAACAGAGTCAAGAATAAAATTGAAAGGTAAAACTCTCAAACTTTAAAATGCATATATTTCATGATCTAAAAGTAGACAAGGTGCAGAAAATGTGAATATAAAAGATAAATTCAATTGTAATGTAAGAATTTATGTTAATTAAGACACCATAAAGAAAATATAAAACACAAACTTAGAGAGTATAATTTTAACATCTATAAATTCAAAGGACAAAGAACCCCTAAAAGTCAGTAAGAGTAAGACCAAAAAAAGAAAAAAGAAAAGAAAGAAAACGAAAAATTGGCAAAACACGTGAACAGGCATTTCACATTAGAAGAAATGCAAATAGCAATAAACATAGGAAAGCATGTTCAACCTTAACAATAATAAATCAGTGAGAGATCTTTTTCCTATACTGTATTTTGCACCTATTGGACAAAAGTTAGGTCCAATAATGCCGAGTGTTGGTAAGGATATAGTTTCACAGATTAGATGGTGCTGGCAAGGTATAAATTATACAATCATGTTAAAAAACAATTTGGCCCTGTCTGGTGAAGCTGAACACTGGCACACCCCACAACCCAGCATTCTGACCCCTAATGTAATACATATTGTTGAGGAGTGTTTTCCAAACAACAGATTGCAAATTATTAATGAGTTATAAAATCAGTTTAAAGGACTAAGATCAAAATTTTTAAAAATTTAAAAATATCAGAGAGCATTATGAGCAATAAGATACGCATCATTTCATGAAATGTTTGCTTCACTTGTGCCTGTTGGGTGGGGGTGCTTGATGGAAATGTGGGTGTCAATGTGATCTGAAATGTATTTCTTTCTCTCTGTCACGGCAACTAAATGTGAGAGCCCTGGAGACACTCGCACACATTTCCCCTGAAAACATGTATAAGATTTTTCACAAGAGTTTTATGCAAAATATCAAAAACACAGCCCAAGCATCCACTGGTACCGAGATGAGAATGCTAAGTAAATTGTGGTGTATATATGTGGCGAAATGGAATGAGCAAGAGAACAGCTCTTTGGTTAAACATAACAGCGTAAATGAATCTTAGAAACAAAATACTGAGGGACAACAGGAAGCCACAGAATACCACATACATTATGCCTTATTTATCAAGTTTAAAGTCAATACTAAAAAATCAATCAATAAAGGCAACCACAAGCATGGATCCTGAAGCCAGGCTACCAGGGTTCAAATAATCCGAGCTCCATCGCTCATTAGCATGCCATCTTGGGCAAAATACTTAACCTCTGAGCTTCCGTTTCCTCATCTAGAAATGAAAATAATAGCCTGCCTCATGTGGTTTTTATCATTAAAACCTGTAAAGTGCTTGGAACAGTGAACATGCAATAAAGAAGGAGTACATATAGAAAGAACAGAATTAGCATTATTACAGGTCTTAAGTTGGGAGTGGGTGCACGAGTGTTAATTTTATATATCTGAGTATTTTTGAATATATATCAAATATTAAACATCTCAAATGAGAGAGCTGTGCCATGACAAGGCTCTGTGCTCTCAGACTCAATATTAAGCCACTGGGGCCAAGGATGGTGACAGCCTGGGCAGTTCCATACCTGGTTCTGAGCTTGTCACCCACAGACCTAGCCCAGCTTCAGAGCAGACTAACAAGTGGCCTTTCTTCATAGTTTGGTATATTGAGCCAGCAGTTCCTGCACCACAGCCTGTGTGCAGTTTATCATTTGTCAGTCATTTGTCAAAAATGTAAAAAATGACAGTGTCTTCACATACTGCAGCAAGATGAGTTTTAGTTGCTTCTAGGAAACTCCTTGAAAGAAACCAAATACAAGACCTCATCCTTCCAGAGACCCCCTCTCACCCCCAGCAAAGGAGTGGTGATCACTGTCCACTCTCAGCCCCTCCCAACACTGCTGACGAGCTAACGACATGCTGCACCCTCTCCTCCTGGAGACACCAGCCTCTAATGCTGATACCAGTAACACTTACTTCAGCTGACACTTGAGATAAATACAAACATCTATCTCTGGACCAGATAGATGGTTGGTCTGTTTCCTTTTTTTGACTCTGATAGTCTATGGTTGATGAGGCCTCGCAGGGGAAAGCATTAAAATGTACATGTAAAACCATCTCTATCAATCTCCTCCCTCATTCGCGTTAAAGTTATGATTTGGGCCAAAAATACTGCATGCTTTTCTGGGTTTGTTAAAGATGTCTACAGCTGGCTTGTGGCAGAGCTAGGACCAGCTGATGGCAACAGCTTCCAGATATGTCAGAGAGGCCACCTTGGACCAGGCTGTCTGTGAGCCTCTAGCTGACCACTGTGGGGTGAGTGGCCCAGACAAGGCCAGTGAGGAATTGCACTGGGTGACCCAGTCCAAACAGCCCACCACAGAACCACGAGTTAACAGTTGCGTGTTACATCAAACTACTAAATTTGGGGGTTGTTTGTTACACAGCACTAAACAGCTGATTCATTCTACAAAACCAACTTTTAAATATTTCTTTCTTTGTTTCTTTTATTTCATGTTTTGTACAGAGATGCTATAAAATGTATATGCTTTTGATCAGTATAGTATTTTTGGTTCACATCGCTGTTTCGGATTCTCACTGTCCAATGGCTCTATACTATCTTTTGTTTGGAAAAAAAAAATCATAGGTAATCAAATCTTTCTATTCAATTAGATGTTTAGGTTGTTTCCAGTTTTATCGTGTCACTAATAACCTTGATGTCAATACATTCAGACAAAGAGCACTGTCCTCTTTTGGTTATTATCTAAGAATAAATCCATGAATCAGTCTAAGCAGAGGTTTATATAAAGGCTGCCCTGCCTCAGCGAGGGATGCCGGGGACTCGTCGAAGCACATGTGCTTGGGGAAGCTTTACGGGCTGCGGTGGGCAGAGGCAGGTGTGCAACGCACCGCAGAGGGTGTCCCATCCAGAGTCCTGTCAAATGCCTTATGGTCAAGCAGCAGACTCTCAGGCCAGAGCCTCCCTCAGTTACCCAAAACTCTCAGGTTCTCCCCATCCCAGGCCCATGAGAGGACGACACTCCCTGTGCCTTTGAAGTCAGAGGTAGCCACAGAATTCACTTTAGGCTGGTAACACACAAGCTGGTACGACATTCCTGCTTGTGCCTGGCCCATTACTCTGGGCTTCACTCTGGATCAGAGGCCGCTACACTGATTCCATGTACAGATGTGGCATTGTTCGGTCTTATAATGTTGTTAGGTTTATTATAAATTACTTTCCTTTTGTTTCATTGAAGTCTGTCTTGAATTCTTGAAATCATGCCTCTAGGTAAGTTATAACATCTGTGATTTCATTTCAGGATAGTGAAGGGGGTGTCACAAAATATTTTTATAAAAAAGAGGGCATTAGGTCCAATGAATTTAAGAATCACTGTATTTGGGGTCAAAGGACATGAACATTTTTATGGCCACTGCTATACAAAACTAGTGAGAAAATCCAAGCACTTCCAACAGAGGAAAAATGGGGAGAAACTGACTAACTTTAACTAGAATTTAAATTAAAAGTGATACAGCAGTCCAGTTTCCTTTCACTGACATATCACTAGGGCAAACATTTACATTCTTTGTTTTTTCTAATTATGATGGTTATAACTCTAGCTTCCTCTTGTTACAAGAACAATATCATCCCAAGAATTAAAATGTGCTTTCTCTTTACCTCCAGATCTTTATTTCTCTTCGCCTTTCTTTATCCCATTTATTCCTACCTGATGATAGAGAGCACAGCAACTTGGCCGTTCGTCCCCTGTCTTTCTACTGCCTTGAAGGTAAACACTGGGAGGTCAGAGTCTGTTAGTCCATCTTGTGCCATCAAAAGATGTATGACACCAAGCTGAGAGCTGAGGAATCTTTCTGGAATGAAAATGAATAAACAAATCCCTTTTCTGTTTCATTATCTCATCCAATCTGTTCAACTCAATAACTTCCTTCCACTTCTGTCACTACTTCCACCTTCCCTGTTTAAGCAACCTAAATTGGACAAATGAACTCACTCTAACAAGAACTAAAATTAGAATGACATAACCATCCAGTTCAGATGTTAAACATAACAGAAAAAATAGATAATTGGGCCCTGGCTGATATCAAAAAGCAGATTTTTTTGCTCCTTTTCCCCTTCCCATTTGTTACTTTGCTTTTGACATCTTTCCTCCTTTTGTAGGTCAGGAGACAAGAAAACATGATTTTAAAAATGAGTTTATTTTCTGCTGCTGATGCCCCCTTGGTGAAAGATTAAATGATTGAAGCCATCAGCTACCATGGGGTTTGACCATTACAGTTTCTAGATCCAGTACTTTATCTGATAAATGACCAGAGAAAGGCAAAGACAGATCAGTCACCTTCTCGACTGAGCGTGCAATGAAGATGAGCTCGTTTCACCTCGTAGATGTGATCCTGAACACACTATAATGTGTATAAATGTGTGATATACTATGTATATATGTACATGTACACACACTATATATATACTAATCCTAATTGTACTATATACTAATATACTAAATACACAAATGTATTCACATATATAAATTTTTAACTTTCTATTTTAAAATAACTATAGACCCATAAAAAGTTTAAAAAATTGAAATAACCCAGACAGGTTGGTTTTTTTTTGTCTAATCATCACCCAGATTCCCCCAAAAGTGATATCTTAGATAACAATAAGGGCTATCAAAACCAGGAAATTCAATAAAATTTTTATACACTGTTCTCATTGTAGTGGAGATCTCATTGTTTAAAAATGAACTCAGAAGTAGAAATATTATTTTTTTGCAATACAAGTAATTACATCCTTAGCTAAGTCTAAGGTTTTGGATTCTTATACCAGATTTTCCTAAAATGACATGTGATGTTATTTCTTTCTAGGTGATTGTTTTTGTGGCTAAACGTTTCTCCAGTTCTGCATATGAATACTCTTATCTCCCTCCGTGCCCCTGAGTACTCCCCGGCGTCTGACTCTTGCTGCACCTGTTCACAAGCCCTTTCTCCCGAGAGCTCTAGGGACTGAGCAGTCAGAACAGCTACATTCCCGCTTTTGAAAAAGATCCACCTGCAGGTGGAATCAAGCTAATCTACGGCCAACATTTGGAAACTCTGAGTCTAAGCAGTTGTGCAAAAGAATGACATCATAAACATGCATTCATAATGAATATCATATGTATCAGGCAACACCATTAGGTAACATCAATAAAAGTTAGTTTTTAGGTCAAATGGCTTTTCAAGGCACCTTTGAAGCAACTAAAATTTCTACTCATGAAGTATCTCACTGATTTATGCCAGGTTCAGTGAGACTTGGATTAAAAAGTCTAAAAAGTAGGGTCTAGTGCCAAGGCAGAAACACTTAGAGCAAATTGGGATAAAAAAAACAGGTGTCTGGGGAAAAGCCACCCAGACGTCACCTACTCTGTAACATGGGCAAACCAGGCAGCGGGGATGCCTCCGGTTTGTGCCACGTAGTGTGACGGAGTCACTCCAAGTGGTACTACTTATGGCACTGGGGTCCCAAATCATGTCCTAGCAAGACTGGCTATGAAATTTGGGGACCAATGGAAAACAAAAATGTTCAAAAATTATTGAGGATTTCGAGATGGTGAGAGGAGAGAATTAAACTAATCAGGGTCCTTCTGAACACAAGGTCCTATATCACTGTCCAGCTTTCACCCCAGGAAGCAGGACCTGTGTCCCAGGGTCCCAGTAGAAACACCAGACACTAGTGTACCTGCGTGTCCTGTATTTTTGTTACCCCGCATCTGGCCATCCTAGGTCCCTGGGGGAGCCCAGGTGTCACCACGGAAGGGCAGTTGAAGAAAAGGCCAAGTGGACATGAGTCACCGCCAAGCATTCTAACTTTTCACCTGTTAGATGCCAAACATGATGTCAAAGTCAGATTTCTTTGAGGAGAATTTTTAAGGATTGCCTGACTAGAAGAAATGAATGAGCGAGAGGAAGGGGAGGGAGGGGAGGACAGAGAACAGGAGAGGGAGGAAGGGAAGGAAGGTGAGTTGAGGAGAAAGAATCACTTTAAACTAGCACATAAACCAACACGTACCATGCTCTGAATAATTGCTGGGCCTTAAATATTAAACCTGAATTTTATGCTAAGGAGGATGGATGTATGCAAAGCAGTGATTTAAGTCCAGTAAAAACTCATGCATGGCTCAAATGAACTTAAGGGTGGTTAGTTTTTTGTTTATTTGCTTAGTTAAATCTGGATCAAATTTAGTCTATTTTCCCAATGTGTCTCTTTCCAACAGAATATAAAGTACACCTTTGTGTTTTCCTTCCTTCATTCCACCCACATTTATGGAGCACTTATTATGTGCAAGGCATTCATTCTCTATATGGTGTATGTTGTGTATTTAAAAGGTGACTAAGAAACCTCTGTTCCTCTGGGGCTTCCAGTGTGATAGGAGAGATCAGCACAGGCACAAACACGGCACTCAGGGGCATTTGTCAGAACCCAACAGGCACAAGCATGGCAAGTCAAAGTAGATCCCTTTTCTACCATGATCAGGGAGGAAAGGCTTCTCTCTCTCCCCCTTCCTCTCCCTCTCTCTGTACATATTTGCTCACTGATCTGCCTTAAAGGTGTCTTTGCACCACCAGAAGGCTGCCATTCCATGCACCTGGCTCACATGGAATCAGGCCTCCTCCTGACACAGATGTGGTTGCCCTTGTC